GTGTGTGTGTGTGTGTGTGTGTGTGTGTGTGTGTGTGTGTGTGTGTGGAAGGCAGTACTCATGTCATTACCAGGAAATAGAAGTTGTGCCTGTGAGACTGGTTTGTGCTGAATGTGGTTTGGATCACGTTCAACATATTCACACATTTCTCAACTCTCCTGGGCACACTGTTATTTTCTTAAGTCATCCATTAAAAAAATAAAATAAAACCATCTAAATATCTGCATATATTGTGGTTTAGCATCACAAACTACCACTTGAGCCCACATGAGGGCTTGTGTATGAAACTTCTAAGAATTACACTTGAAGGGAAGTGTAAAGCATTCAAGAGCAGCTCTTAAGTCTTAAGTACAGAATCGGATGCAACAATTTGCCACATTGTTGTTTTTTTAATCTTCATTTTTTTTTTATTATATCTTATCTGCAAAAATATATTGTCATTGAATTTAATCTTTTAAAGTTGTGTTTTATTTGTTACTTACAGGGTTAGGGGATTACTAACACAAAACATTGGGTCCAGGTTCAAAAATACTGATTAAGTCCAAAGTCCAAAAATTCTGTTCAAGCAGTTTCAAACATTTGCCATCATGTTGGGACAATCTGACTCAGATAACAACAGTTTATATAACTGTGTCTGTTTCACAAACTCAGGAAATAAAACAACTGTAATTTGCATGTGAGACAGATATTCAACTGGCACCAAGTACAGATACATTTGGTTATGAAAACAGATGAGGAGCAGGGTGGGCTGTGTGGTTTTGTTGTTAGTGTGCATCAAAATATTGCATGACCTTTCAGTTGAAACTTTTTGCATATACTGTTTCCTTTAACATTTCAGACTGTGGGAGGGCACGATCTGTCTCTCTACTGATGTTGATGTTCGGTATTTATACTGACCCGCACACACTTTTAATCTATGCGACTGTATGTTCACCACCATCTTTTATTTGGGCTTTTCTGCCACACTGACTATCTGCAAGATAGTCTCACCAACTTTGTATTACTTTGTCACTGGATAGCCAGTGCATATTCTCAGATGGCTGTTTGGTAATTTGATATTTTTTTACATATAGAATATAATATAATAACATAGAACGGACAGAATATAATAAATAGAATGTAATGAATCCCAAATCAAAACTCACCTTTTCAGAACTGAAAACTGTGACCAATATTGTGTGTTTTATGTATTTAGTGTATAGCTTTTTGATGATTTTAATGTAAAGTGTCTTTGAATATTCTGAAAAGCACTCTATAAGTACAATGTATTATCATTATTATTATAAAACAGATTAAATAAAACATATATTCTGAATATACAACACATACCTTTTAAGTGTAGATTTTTCGATTATAATAATAAAATAGAGCAGGATGAAATAGAAGAGGCTAGAATTAAAACGGATTGAATAAAACATATGACATATGATACAAGAATGAGTATGTTTGAGTGTACCTTCTAGTTTAGATTATTTTTCAGGTAGAACTTAATCAAATAAAATGGTGTTTAACACAGAAACAACCTAACTGAGCATCAGTTGCTTCCTGTTTCTGTTTCTGCTCGAGGCGCCCGCGCAGCCGGGGCTGTGAGGTGAGAGCGAGGCAGCACCGCGAGCGAGGCAATAGCCCGGCAGAGGGAAACATCACGTGGTGACACCACTGACGTCACCGTCCCCATCTCCAAGCAACCCTTCCATCAGCACTCACGTCACCGTGAGCCCGAGCCGCGCGGTTGCCCAGCAACCTGTGCCTTGCGCTCGGGCCCGGCCTTGCCTTGCACCCAGCTCGGAGCTCTGACGCGGGTGTGACGTTAATAAGGTGGGTATCAATTTGTTATGGTGGCGGAGGGAGGGAGGAGGAGGAGGAGTTCCCCCTGTGAGTGCCGAAGCCCTCTGCTCTGCATTCCGGCGGAGCGCACAGCCACACACCGGCCACAGCCGAGTCCCGGGCCCCACAGACGTGTTCCGAAAGTTTCTCCGTGCGTGTTTTCTACATTTTTTCAAACCTGTTGTCGGTTTGGCTGTGGAATGGTTTACGCCTCTTCTGAGAGCCGTCTGAACTGTGAGAGAAGGTGGTTTATGTCCGCTTATTAAGGTAAGACGAGACTCCTCTCTCCGTTAGACTCGCTTTACTACATTTCCTTTTAAGTCATTTTGTAATTTTCTTACACAATCCAAAGCTACTTTCCTATGTAGTCGTTTTAGTTTCATTTCTTTAACTTTCTGTTTGACACAAATTCCCTTTGTCAATGAATTACGGCTATAGGATTGACATTAGGGAAACATACTTTATACATTTTCAAGACGTATTACGATTTGAAATACGTATTTATTCACTTAAAATCCTTTCCTTTTGACCATATCAATGCTTGTACGTCAATCACTCCAGGCCAGTAATACTTTCTTCCTCTGAACTCATTTGTTGTACAAGCAGCTGCTGCACCATAGCTATATTAGCCTATAGGGCCACATGCTGTATACACTTTAGTTGATTTGGACAAAAAAAAAACTGCCAAATGTAATTTAAAATGTATATCTGTCTATATGCAGTAGAATACAAGGCAGTGAAATACAGGGTTGTCTTTGTCTCTGCAGGTACTAGCCTTAAACTTTCCCAACGCTGTAACTGTTGGTGCACTATGGTGATCATGACTGAGAGCAGCCAGGGGGCTCAGTCCAGCCCTGCCCAGGGAAGACCCCTGCAGGTCGGCTTCTATGAGATCATCCGCACCCTGGGGAAGGGAAACTTTGCAGTGGTGAAACTGGCCAAACATAAAGTCACCAAAACACAGGTCAGCAGCTGTCCTCCAAATTCTGTGACTGTTTATGCACATTTTTAAAGATGCATAATTCTAATCCTTTTCAATTTTCATTTTTCTTTTCTTCAGGTGGCTATTAAGATCATTGACAAGACCAGACTGAACCCCTCCAACCTGGAGAAAATTTACAGAGAGGTGCAGATTATGAAGCTGCTAAACCACCCCCACATCATCAAACTCTACCAGGTGTGTGTTATCTTTCGGTTCTCTGCAGTGTTGTTTCATGCAGGTGTTTGTATGTGAGCAGAATGGTGTGTGTGTGTGTGTGTGTGTGTGTGTGTGTGTGTGTGTGTGTGTGTGTGTGTGTGTGTGTGTGTGTGTGTGTGTGTGTGTGTGTGTGTGTGTGTG